TTCTTGACGCTGGCCAACCTCTATTTCGTAGATCAAATTGAGATTAAACAAATAGCAAACTGTAAATTCAGATACTCCTTCCAAATATTTTCTAGGGAAAAAATAAATTTACGTATAGGAAATTATGTTTTGCAGAACTTACATCTACGCAAAGAAGTTTATGATACGTTAGCTAATAGCTTTAGACAATTTTCGCATCTTTTCTCACACAAACAGCTATCAAAGAATTTTAATGTTTGATGAAATTTATAAGAGATTTTGAATTTTCCAGTTCATTGATATAGCATTCTACCAATAAGTACTGCAACAAACAAAACTGAAAACAAGAGCTAGTGCAGGTAATTTGGCCTACGTAGGAAACCACATCCCGGTTTTCATTGCATCAGCTTAAGGCCAACCTGATCGTTCTAACGGAAATTTCTTTTACTTCCTATTACTAACAACACGTAAGCATGTGTCTACAGTTTGCAGATTCATCTTTTGGGCATTTTTATTTTTGTACCTTCAGTATTTTCTACGTACGCTATGCACGATGTAACTAGCGGAATCTGTGATTTGTCTATTTTTGATAAACCTTGCTTATTTATTTATATATTAATATGTAGCATAAAGTTGTTCCACTAAATGAGGATAAGGTCAAAGACTAGAAATAAAACTTTGAAAGGTTTCCAGTAATTTAACAACTTTTCTAATACAAGCGGCTATCTAGTAAATGTACTATTAGCCCACTGCACAATTTGAAATGATATAGCTATATGCTTCGCATGAGGCTCGGCAAAAGTCTAGAGGAAAAAGAACTCAATAAATCTTCTCTAATAAGAATGTAGGGCGCGACTATATTATAACCGGTAATAGTTAAAATTTACGAAAAGTAACTTACTTTCAAATACCACTTTCGGAAATGTGTAATTATATGTGAATTACTGCCTTTATAGAAAAAAAAAAATAGAAATAAAGGTGTGTGTGTGTGTGTGTGTGTATAAAAGAAGACCCGCTTGTTTCTTATATAGTAGGTTATAGACGTAACAACTTGTCACACTTAATTTATAGCTTTATAGAGAAAATAGCTCGAATCTTCGTTTGCGGTCTACATTTATCACTATTTGAACTATTTACACGATGTCAACTTATGATTCAACTCAAAATGAATTATTTCCTGAGTTCTTTAAAGACGCTTGCTTGTTTTAAAGGCGGTGGTCAGCTCAACTGAATACGAGTAATCAGAAAAAAATAGTCACCTACGGATATCGGCATCCAATGTTCCTCAAGCAAGTCAAACATTAGGCATCAGTAAGTGATCTAGTATTTACACGAATTTAATGCAAGTAAACTATGAGATACTTACACTCAAACAAAAAAATTATAACTAAACACCAAGCGACCCGCACAAACATTTACATGAGTCAGTGTGAAATAGATTAGATTAGCCATTAAGAAAAAACACTTAGTTAATTTATTGCAAAATGAGATTTCTAATTAAATCGGTTTTTCTTACACGGACAGAGCTAGGAATTAGATGATTATAAAGTTTATGAAGTCCATGGGCGTGAAGATAAGAGAGAATACTTGATTAGAAAATAAACAGCAGTTTTCAAGCTTATTTGCTAATGATTAGATATAGGTACAATGCGTCAGTCGACCTTATGCATTTGTTTAATATAAGAAAAAATAACCTAAAGACTAGTAGTATAGAAAGGCAGGTTAATTGCCGCCGCCCTGGTGTAAAAGCTCACCATAACTAGTGCGTCTTCAAGGCTTGAGAAAATGTGCTGCTTTATCAGAACGACAACAAACTGTCAGTTAATTAATAAGATAATTCGAACAGAAAGGCTTTTTGCCCATTCCAAGCGACGACAATATTATGAGGATTGTACTTTTGATGAGTTAGAAGTGATATAAAGATGCACTCAATCGTCCGCTAATCAGTTAAACGAATTTCTTTGAGCTAGAGTACCACCTCAGTGGTGGTACCTTTTAACTGCTAACTTATGATCTATAGATATTAAAACTGAACCGAGCAAGATGCTTTGTAACTGAAGCTAAAACTTTAAAAAGCTTTAACTGAAGTTAAAAACTTATTTGTAAAAAAATGCAGATGAATATGTACAATGTCAATGCTTGAGGCTTGAACTTTGCCAGAGATCATAAAAAGTTTTTTTTTTTAAAGGATTATGTTTAAAGTACCACAACGAAATTCAGCATTTAAATAAAGTATTCACTTAAGTATATGGATTATATATAATTTATTACCTCAACTGAATGAAAATATAGAAACATTTAAGTAGTCATAGCCGATTAACGGCAAAATAGTGAGAAGTAAAAATGTGTAGACGTTGTGAACGTCGTCCGGTAAGTTTGTCAGAATAAATGAGCACAGTAGCACTGCAAAATTATCACTGTACTACGTTTTTTTTTATTATATCGGTAGCTTTTTTTTTTTTTTATTTATGCTTCGTTTGCTATAACAGATCACATTAACAAACCTGAAGCTGCAAACGACTCATCTTTTCGATATACTGAACCATTTCATCTACGATCACTGAATTTAGCATGAAGATCTTATCTTAACGACACCCCATAAGGGGGATCGAACCCGATTTGGCGACTGTTGGTTCAAAAGCAGAAATGAAAAAGAAATGCGAAAGACCGTCGCCTAATAGGGTGGTGCTTTCCATTTCCTAAGGTCGTTTCTTTTGAAGCTTAAGAACACTCTTCCTTTAATGCTTATATTTCACATGATATATAGGAGAGACAATAGGCTCGGATTCTAAGTGACAGCCGTAAAAGGATACTGTTCACTTGTTGTATGGCGCTGCTAAGCTTTTTTCGCCCTAAGATCGTAGATAACTTGTAGATATTTACATTTTACGTTCAGAATAGCTATAGACTTCGCCTTTCGAACCATGATGAAAAAAGGTATCACGTTATGTAATTTATTATTGACGATATGTTCGATGACAGGCTGTCGCCAGGACGAAAAAGAAGACGAAAAACAGAGTAGACCAGCTATCATCAAGTCTAGAAAGAGGGAAAATATTTGGCTACAAAGATGCACTAACACACATGCGGCATATTTAAGAGATATAATCACGAACGCACGGTTTGCTGGGTAAAATTACTAAAAGCTGGTCAGTTACACGTTTAACATATATCACCATATTAGACTATAATATGCTTATGGCTATCTTTACAGGACTGCTACACTCTATGCCCTTAATTTTCGTTGCTGATTGCCACGGAAAAGCCTAATTGATTGACTACATTTGCATTTAGTATTGCCATTGCCTTCGCGTGGGTTACTATTGGCACAGATATACGCTTTCATACTAATCTATTAACTAAAACATCTTAAAAAGTTTTATAGGCTCTGCTTGCATACCCAGTTTATAGCTTTAGCCAGTACAGATTAACTGTCCCTTATTCATCGGCCCAAAACGGGGAAGTGGTCCAGTATGGCCCGATCAGTTTGCTATTGTCTAACTTCTGCATTACCACAAACATTCCATGAAGCGCAGTAGCTACTCTCACTGGTCTTTTGTTGTAGAGCTTCCAATTATCCGTTGTTTAGGAATAAGATGAATTATGGATACCTTGGCATGTGGTATGCACTTTCTTGAAAAAAACTTATTTTTTAGCCACAAGACTAAGCGTGACCGATATAGCGTCCTCACCGCAAAAGTAAAGCTTCTGTCTTTGTACTTTATAATGCTAAAGTACATACGATAGTTGAGCCCTATTTTGCTATCATGTTTATTTATATCCTGTCTGACGTACGCCTGTGTTTCGAGCGTCTTTTTTAACGCCTTACCTTACTCCCTTCGGGTGCAGCGCCCTTGGTGCAGCATCCTTTTACAGGCCCTTAGTAGCTTTCTCGGGGTTGCTTCCGTTTTTTGGCTCCTGGATTTTAAGTTTTCCAGGAAGTAATCTGTCCAACTTTAGGTTTATACTTTCATCTCTAAATATGCTCTACTAATATCATAATGTCAAGCTATCTGTCTTCTGTTTACCATTACCTCTTAGCTGTTGTTCATATAATCTTGTGAAAGGTAATGCCTTAATTTTGTTGCTTATTTACTCTATGATTTTATAATTATTATTCACGATTTCTCAAGCGGGTTTTGTTATATAGTTTTAATCAATCGTTAAACTTCAACGATCTCAAATGACTCTCAGGCCTTTTTTTGTCAACCTTATCATATTACAATCACTTCCAACGTCGTTTATGTTGATTTTATTAATTTCAATATCTACCGTGCAGTTGGAGGATATTTGGCTGGAGTTTGAAAAATTCCTTTGTCCCCTTCTGTATATGTAGATTGGTTTCTGCACCTTTGCTCTAGATTCATGTCTATCCATCTGTAGTTAGTCTGACACGTTTGCAGGTTGTTCGCGGCTTCGCCTTTATTTTTAGCAAAAAATTTCAGATTTGTGGCTCAGTCGGTTTTTAAATGTTTTTCGCCCGCAACTAGCGATAAATATCATTTCGGATGGTTAGCTTCCAGCACGAAACAACTTAGACCACTTCACACGTTTCTTAGTTTAGTAGGCGAACACGCTACTACTACGCCAATGCGAAGACTACGGTTGTTGTTATTACTGCCGATTCGGTTGTGCGAATAGCCTCAAAATGCACACTAGACTATTATAAAATAACCCGTCTTGAACCTTATCTTTGGATGGCCTACATCGGACCGTAGATCGAATTCTAACGGGCCGCCCATCTCTCACATATATTGAATTGCTTACCTGTTTCGAATACAATTAGTGTTCGTGAAGATTTCAGCCTTTACAGTCATGAAGATACTCGCGTGTGTGCTTAAATTCGTAGTTGTTTAGGATAGAAAGTTATATATCAGAATATTGACTTGCATAATTCCTTTTATATGATGCGTGACAGACAGCGTTATTTAATTTATCTAATGTTTGTTTATCAATATCTAGCACTAACAAACAGTATGCTATTATACATGCACATGAAAACACACATCTTCGACTTTTAATAGTTTTTTTTTTTTTTTTTTTTTTTGTTGTCGGTGTTGAACTTTTGATTTATATTATCAGTTTCACCATCTCATCCCATCGATCTCAGTCATCAGCTTTTCACCATTTTAGCCCTACTAGTACAGATCTAGTACTAGTAGTACAGTTGTGGTAATTAGTAGTTGTGATAGTAGATATAATTAATAGAATGGCCTCCGTCGTTATTCACATCATCAACATTTTCAGTTCACGAATATTGTTTTTATCATCACCGTAATCACTAAACACAGACCAGATTCTGTTTCATCATTGTGGAAGCTTTGCCTTTTTCCTTCCAGGGTTGAGACGAATGTCTCGTCACGATCGATCAACCTACGGTCACGTGCGATCACGATTGTGTGAATCAGCAAGATCTGTGTTTACCTTCTACCTTTGCTCGATTCCCTAAACATCGTTGCCACTGGCATTACTTCGACACCGAACGCCTTCATCATCATCATCATCGCCACGATCATCATCATCATCATCATCATCATCGCTATATTCGCAAGCACACACGCTAAACTTTTATACAGACACCCAATTCGTCAATATATTGGTTAACATATATATAGATACTAATACTTCATTTCTATGTTATTTGTAGATATATATATATATATATATATATATCGCTTTTTTCCTCATGACCTGCTAGTTCTTTCGCTCTGTGTGTCATGGTTGTCAATGTTAAATGTTTATATTGCACTTTGCTGTTCTTATGGATGTTATTTCCAGCCTGTTGTTGTTGTCGTCATTGTTTTGTCATTTGTCAAGTGACATGTTGTGAGAGGGGCATCTTCTGCAGTGGAGAAATTGATGGCGATAAAGAACTGCGTTGTCCGTTGACTTCTTTCGCAAGAAACTGGATCGACTCGATGAATATTTTTCTGACAATAGCTGATTGGCTGGGACAGTTATTCGTTTCGCATCTGTTTCAACCGATTTCTTTCGGTGAATCGCACTGGCCAAGTATGTGGGTTATGATATAGTATACATTGCTCCTCTACCTACCTTGAAACGCAATCTAGGGTAGTCCTACCTCTGTCTGAAAACGCTGATTTAGCTGGGTCAACGCGAGCAAGGCAGCTGAAGATGATTCTTTAGCGCACACGTTCTAAGAGCTCAACTGTTAGCTAAGCATTTAAGGGACGAATGGCTTTTAGTTAGAGCTGTTGAAGATAAAAACAGCCGTACATAGAAAAAGTACCTTGAACGAAGAGGAGGTTTTATTGTTGACAGTAAAGATAATCTTTACATATACTCATACGATACGATTTAACGATACATATACCCATCATATATTTATGGATGTTTTGAGAAACGCTATTACGTATAACGACGTAATGACTCGATGACGAAAGAATCACCAATGAGACGCGAGTGCTTCTAGGTCAATTGATCAATCAGGTTTGTGTGGCATTGCGCCATACGCTGTGATATTTAATGCTAACAACATCATGTATAGAGTTGAAAAGAAAATTAAAAAACAAGTAGCAATTCCGGCCCTGTTAAGGGTAGAACAAGCATCGGGAGTGAAATGGGTTAATGACGACTTAATCGATTCGAGCATCGGAACAAACATCCCGCATTCATCTATAATCTGCTTGATTACTAATAGTTCGTTCATAAATTATTTGTTCATTCTTAATGATTATTTAAAAAGCAGTCCTAAGTTTCTTAAATCGCACTAATTGTTCTTAGAGCTTTACTCTAGATCAATAGTTGCTCTCAAAGCATTCGAGCGACCGATTGATTATTTGTGTTTATTATTTAACCCAGTAGGTATCTTCGATGACACTACATTCGGTATGGAAGATCTGTTTCCGCATGAACAAATTGTCACGACCATAATTCTAGAGCAAATCTCACCTTTTCTTATGATTCAACTTTATCGGAACGCTTTGGGGTGATCTAGCCTCCACAGCCTTTTGACAATACGCACATCGGTACGCCGGACACAAAACTAAATTGATTAACGAATGGTTAATCCATCAGGGGCAGTTTGCTTTTACTGTTCACAGTTTTGTGCAGGCAAGAAAGGCTCATAAAAGTACAGGCAATCGCAGTATAATATAGTATTAGTTTCTTGCTAAACAGAAGTGTTTCCTGTGTGTGAAGTTGATGAACGACGTAACTGGCGGCATAAGTTGTACAACGAATGTCGCATGGTTCGTTAGTTTTTTGTTGATGTTTCGTAGCAGAAGGCTCTAGTAACGTTTGGTCGTCTGCTCGCATGTGTCTAGCAGTGTTGGGTTGAATGGCCATCTACTTTTCTGCTATGAACTATAGATCGATTTAAAGCTTCTACTAATCTGTGCATTCATAGGGCACACACAGGAAAAAAGTCGCCCGTCTGACACGCTGTTCCTGCCTAGACAGCGGGGGGACGCCAGAGATTTTCCTACTCGTCGCATTACGTGCTTTAGTATCTTCTGCCGCGGCTCTTGGTTATGTTGCTGTGTTTGCCATTGTTGTGGTTTCATTATAATTTTGTTCACCGGCTAAAAGTACGATCTGTGGATATTGGGAACAGCAACAATTCACTTTTATCCGAACGTAAAGACGACATAATTATTACGTGTGTAAGTTTCTCTATGATGGTTAGTGTACTACAGTTTGTACGGATGTACGACGCGGAATCGAGATTGGGTATGTCTTGTTGCACCGCCTGCTGATGTACAGTACTAATTGGACCGATGTTTGAAATCGTTGACGGTTACCGCTAATAGGCGACCATTTATTGAGGCTGCAAGCCTCGGCTACGTACCGACTTTATTTTGGTATGTTATTGTTGTTGGTTTTTGAATAATCATACTCGTTTGTCTTTGCTGTTTCACTTCGTATTGGAATATCAACAGTTGGCTGAGATCGATGTCATAATTTTTTCGCTCATAGTCTTAGAATGTTGTCATAATGGCAGTAATCTTCGATGGATCGCCGATAAGATGATGACACCGTCTAAAGCATTCGAGTCGAACGGTTCACCTGTCTTAATTTCACTCGAAATTTTTCTTGACCCTCACATCCCCTTTCTCTCTCGAAGTCGCTTTCTCTCGCTATTTCTTGCTCGCTTGTTTACACACATACTTTTTTTGTATATATATTTTTTTGTTTCTACTTAAGATCTAACTCTCGTACTTGCGCTCTATAATTCTTTTGCTTAAGGTTACAACAGCTATCTTCTTTGCTTTTGTTACCTTTTTATCATTTAGAGGAGAAAGCTCAGCAGCACGAACAGCAGCGGCGGTGGCCGGTTCAGCGGCCGACCCGTTGGCCGCGCAGAGTCGTGGCCTTGTGCAGGTCGCTCCCACTTGTTGTTGTTATTGTTGTTGCAATGAAACAGGAAACTTCGCCGATTTAGTGGTCTCGGTCGATCATTTTTGCATTGCTCGACGACAAGCAGTCAAGCAGCCACCACGAAGTGGGGTGGCCTCTAATTCTCAAGATGATTTCTTCTTCTTGTTGCAACAATTTCTACCGCTGCTGTTGCTGTTTTTGGTTGCATTGTGTGGCTATGTTTAATTGTGTCTAGTTCTTACACACTACTGTGCACCACAATAGCTTCGATTTCTGTCGTTATTTGGAACAATTGGCTGGTATCGAGAATTCGTCAGTGGAGGGTCGAACAGAATGGCGAGCGGCCGCGTAATAATGGTAGTACTGGGTGTGACTGCCGAACTCGTCAGCTTGCGTCGGGTATCCCCTAGAGGGTTGGCATATTGAGCAAGTTGACCGGGAGACGCCGCCGCCGGGAGAGGCCTTAATAATGCAACTCGAAGAAGGCTATTGGGTAGCCTATAATCACATCATTCTCGTTTGTTTTTATTTTCATCATCAATAGAATTTTTGTAATCGTTATTAAAACTTCATAGCGGAAACAAGTGCTTTCATTTTGTTTTTTTGTCTAAAAACATCTTGCTTAGGCATGTCTACGGCAAAAGTAACGCTCGTAGTTCGTACAGTATGTAACGACATAGTCCAACTGTTGTTCGCTTGCGTTGTAGTTTGCAGTGGTTGTTGTTGTTGTAAGTGCTTCTGATATAATCGTCAGCTACGTGGTCTGCTGAGTGGCAACATGTGTCAAATATTTCTTGCTTCTTTTCAATCTTTTAGTAACTCATTTTCGCTTTCGTATGTTAATTCAGATTTTTGCTCACTTTTTCACCTTCGTAATAACTGACTAATGGTTGAATTCGCAAGCGCGTACGAATTAGCCGTTCCCTCTGCCAACTCTTGTACAGGTGCCTATCGTCTAGCTGGCATATGTTAACGTTTGAGCTATAATATGGCCGCGGTGTGGTTGTTTTAAGTTGTAGTCGCTAATTTTCGATCTAATGTCCGATTCCTTTGTCAACTGGAACAGTACGGTCAAATCCCAGAACGTGACATTAGTACAGCGACAGCAGAGTCCCCACGCAGCCCCCGATTGCAGCTTGTGTTTCCAGAGGTGCAATTTAATAATAGGTCTCGCGTTCGACCCACCCACCAGGGTTTCTGTAAACAGTTGGTAGCATTTCTCTCAGTTAGTAGTCGAGCATTTAACTGCTATATAACAATTAGGTCTAGGGCGTTTTTTGAAAGGTCAAAAAATATTCCACTAGCTACGAAGCCCACCCAGTCAGTACCCAGTATCGCATTCTATATCATAACTATTTTATGTTGCTGTGACTAACAAAGCACGCAGGAGTAGACAAACATATAGAAAGCGGTCCAGCAGCCAGCCTTTAACATATTTGTATACATTGACAACGTACCTGCGGAGAATATAACGACGGATCTCGTCATACACAAAAATTAGAATCGAGAATGGAATAGCCGGCAACCACCAGTTGATCTTGAGTGGATACATGCGCAGACCTTTATCCATGCCTGGACAATACGAGAGGAAAGCAGCCAGGGCTGTCTCGAAGACTAGACCGAAGTTCAGCACGTGATTGCGCATGCCCTGGTGCACAATTGAGTTACGTCGTGTCTTACAGATCACAAGATCGGCCCATTGCACGATAACAATCGAGACAAAGAAGGCAGTGTGGCAGGTGAACTCGAGTGCTTTGCGGTGGTGGTACGTCCATTCCTGTCCGTACGAATCCTCGAGGTCGTTCACCGCCTGCGCAATGTGAATTTACGCAATAGATAAGGAAGCGTTGTATAGATCGTAAACTGGCGCGTTAGGTTAAAGTCCCTTCATCATATACGATTGGTTGCGTTACATACTTTGCGAATGAAGTTACTATAAGTTAATGAGAAATTTGTCGAAAATGCTATTTTGAGAAGAAAAACATTTGCACAGAAAACAAATAGATCTGTCAAAAAGCGACTGACCCACCTTTGAGTCCCACTCTTTACGGAGGCCGAGGAGACGCGATGGCCAAAAGCCATTTTCACCCATGATCACAAAATAGGCGAAGAAACCGGCAGCGGCCTGCATCATACCGATCTGACCGTACGCGATCGAAATCAATCTGTAGAAGTAGCAACTCGTGTTAGAAAAAAAACGCGACATTATGTACATATATCACTTAGTGGTTGATTTATGTTTGCAGGAGAAGTGTTGACTTAAGAGATGTATCATCACACAATCGACGAAATCAACAGACGTTAAAACGAAATAAACATCACCGAATAGACCAACCTCTCATTTACAAGTTTATCCTTTTTCGGGTCGCGAGGGGCACGCTTCATGATGTCCAATTCGGCTTGTTCGTAAGCAAGTGAAACAGCGGGAACCTAAATAGGTGCAATAATCAGGCAAACGCAATCCCAACAAAGTAAACAAAACAAAACATAATAAAACATAACATAACCGTCTATCGTACTACACAAGCATGATCCAAGCTTACGCTGAACAGAAAAACCAAAAACAAATGATGACTAGCACCGCTCTAACAATCGCTCCGGAATGATTTTGTCTTCTTTTTTTCGTGTGATCCCTACCTCTCATTGACAAGTTTGTCGTGTTGAGGATCTCGTGGCCTTCGCTTCATAATATCGGATTCGGAGCGTTCGTACGCTAGCGAAATGGCGGGCACCTATTTCATTAACATTTAAAGATAGCAAAAATTGGCCCAACAGATCCGAATCCGAATTTCCGAAGACCATTTTATATTGGGATAGTGAATGGCAAGCATATATTGAGTTTGAGACCGTCGTCAAACCGTTCGACACATCCAAGGCAGTGTCCAGAGCAGCGAGTAAAATGATATTAATAATAATTAGAAAGGAAATAAAGTGTCAGTGTTAATAAAACGACTTTCGTTAGCCTTACCTAGACGTCCATTATTCGCATAGGACATAATGCATACGCTACAAAATGATGAAGTGATAATCATAACTGTTAGATGGATGAAGAAGTGAAGTGTCTTCGTTTCAATGGTGTATTTAAGTATCTAAATTTAACGATGCTCTGTTTGAAAGGCGGGGCTTTCCTAATTCGCATATTATAACATTTACACAATTGGGCATTCTAACCTGTGAAATAATATGTAAACTAATCAGACGTATACGAACCATGTCGGTACCAAGATCAATACAGAGGATGGTGACAGTTCCCAGCGGTAATGGGACATCAGCGAGAATGAATAGAAGAAAAGGAGAAATTTCGGGGATATTAGATGTGAGCGTATACGCAATAGACTTTTTCAGATTATCGAAAATTAGTCGACCCTCTTCAACGCCTGTAACAATTGAGGCGAAGTTATCGTCAAGCAAGATCATGTCGGCAGCCTGTTTTGATACATCAGAGCCGGAAATACCCATAGCGACTCCGATATCGGCCTTCTTCAGGGCAGGTGAATCGTTCACACCGTCACCGGTTACAGCGACAATGGCGCCCAAGCGTTGGCAACCTTCGACAATGATCAACTTTTGTTGGGGTGAAGTTCGCGCAAATACAATCTCGCTGTGGTGTCGTAGAATATCGTCGAGCTATAAACATAGTAGTAAAGAACAACACGAACAGCGTTAGATCAAAATAAAACGTAAGTGGGAGGGTTAAGAATAATTACGCTTATCTGCGAAGCACGCCCTTCTGACTAAGCCTTTGATTACTTCTACAAAATGCTTAACTGTCGTGTTGTCTTGATAGAGTAATCCAAGTGAATTTTACCTGTTCGGTTTGAATGTCACGAAGCTCCGAGCCGTGAATGACGGCAGCTTTCGCATCCCGTGGGTTAACTTCTTCGACAGGAATGTTCATGCGCTGGGCAATATCTTCAACGGTTTCGTTGCCCTCTGAAATAATTCCGACGGCCTTCGCAATAGCTTTGGCAGTGATTGGGTGATCGCCGGTTACCATGATAACTTTGATACCTGTAAGCGATAATACGAATCAGTGACGACGGTCAAGTTTCAACGCAAAATGCGACGTTATAAGGGTCTTGCCACTGCTTTCATCATCCTTCATTCAATTTTTTGAGATTTGAGTTATCATTAACAAGCTAATTAATGCGAATGGGAACTAGTACGTACCAGCGGATCTGCATTTAGCAACAGCGTCTGGTACGGCCGCACGGGGAGGATCAATCATAGATACGAGACCAAGGAAACGGAGGTTGGTCAGAGGGAAATTCTGCTCGTCAGCATCGAATGGGTAACCCTTGGGATACTGGTCGGCAGGGAGTTTGAAGTCGCAGAAGCCAATGACGCGTTCTCCCAGTCCTCCCAGTTCCAGATAGGCGTTGTTGAAGGCCTCTTTCATCTCTTCATCGAGAACCTTCTCCTTGCCGTTGATGAATATTGTTCCGCAGCGGTCGAGGATACGCTCGGGGGCACCTAAAAATCGGCACCACAACAAGAGCCTGGCCAATGTTAGTGCAGTCTTCACATTGAATCATGGTATTTATAACATACATAGGTAGGTATTTGAAAGGAAGAGCTTCATACACATTAGTTAAGATGAAAAACGGATGTAATTTTTACCGCAATGGATTTGTACGATTTCCACTGAAAGAATCGTCTTCGATTTCTGTAGAAATGCCCCATTGCTTACCCTTCATGCAAAGAACATAGCTAGGATCGTCGGGATCCTCGGTCTCGTGAATAGTGACGTGGTATTTGTTGGTTGAATTGAATGGTACTTCGCAGATCTTGTGGTTGCGCTGTCTGTAGGAGGAAATATTGCCGACTGCAAGCTCCATACACTTGAGAATGGCTTGTTCAGAGGCATCTCCGGAGCACTCGCGCTTCAAAATTGGCACGTTCTCTTGTCCCGATTTAAACTCGGCACGTGAGCAGAGCATGCATACGCGGGCCAAGGCCTTCCAGCCGGTCGAAGTCTGGATCGGTTGCGATTAAAATTTATAAATAAGCGCAGTAAATCCAATCTACCGCATTAGCAATGTGTTTAAAGGCATTGATAAGGTTTGTTTCTCGTTTGCTACACGCACAAGATTATAGGCGAATAAAAATTCCACCATTTGACCTGCCCTATCTAACAAAACTAGATTATGCACCATAAATTAGAATAAACAGTTATCGTTGGAGCGGTATTTTTATTTCAAACATTGTAAGCTTCCGTACCTTGTCATACTGTACGCCAGACTGATCTTCAGTGGTATCCGCTTCAATGATCTGGTTGTCAAACCACATGTGGGCGACAGTCATACGATTCTGGGTAAGAGTGCCGGTCTTGTCGGAACAAATGGTCGAGGTGGAGCCAAGGGTTTCGACAGCCTCGAGATTCTTCACGAGGCAGTTCTTGGCAGCCATACGTTTAGCGGTCAGAGTCAGGCATACTGTTACGGTGGCCAGTAGTCCTTCGGGTACGTTGGCTACGATGATTCCTATAACAGTAGATAGCAAAATCTAGCATGTAAATATTTTATTGTTATTCAAAACTACTATGCTGTCCAATTCAGTTGTACTGCTTTTGCTTAACTTTTTGTCATTTATGTATTGCCAGTGTAGACATACGTGAGAGTTTTCGCTAAACTGTCCATTGCAGTAAATGGTTGCTCACCGATAAGGAAGATGACAGCATCAAGCCAGTGGTATCCAAGGATAAAGGCAATGATGAAAAAGGACACTCCCAGGAATACGGCCACTCCCGTGATGATATGAATGAAGTGGGCAATTTCACGTGCAATAGGTGTCTCACCCATCTCCAGACCCGAGGCGAGGTTGGCAATTCGACCCATAACGGTACGATCACCAGTGTTAATCACCACGCCTAGTCCGGTTCCTGTCGGAGAGTCAAATTCAGTTTTCTCGAAAATTAATTTGACTACTTCTGAATTGCTCGCTCACTTGCTCATGCCAGTTTGTAATTAAATTAGTAACTGCTAGAAGAAGGTACGTTTAAAATAGAAAAAAAAACTGAGTTAGCCTATTCTGCTAATAATTTTCAGGCTTAAATTATAAATAAGCCTGAATAGTGGGAAGCCGCATTGACATTTAAACGAGTAATATCTGCACTAGAGTTATAGTAATATATATACCTTCGACACAGTTGGTGGAGAAGAATGCAAGATTCCTGGTTTCCAGTGGGTTCTCGTTCGTCATTTCCGGGGAACGCGTCTGAGGCTCAGATTCTCCTGTCAGTGAAGAGTTGTCCACCTAAAAGTACATTATAAACCTGAATATCCTCTGCCTAGAGGGTACCACTATTGCATACATGAAACCTTCTGCACCTTCCATACGTAACTGTCGAGTAAGGATATTTTTTAAACCCGCTGAGCTATTTTAATAGAGTGTTCTACTATATAACGAACCTTTTCTCAAGTTAAACATACCTCAGATAGATTTGAAAGGGTCACGACTGCCAATATTTTTTGATTTTGCTTTTTTGGGACCGTATACACGTAAGTATATTTTGACTTAAACGTTATTTCGCTTCTGACATTTCTTGAAGCCGAGTGAAAAGTTCTGTTAACTGGCTGTAGGTACAGCCAATTGGGACAGTCAAATAATTTTCCCCTATTCATCGAACCAAATTTGGATTGATAAGGGTATGCATCATGGCATGCCTACCTTAAAGCCTTGTGCCTGAATAACACGCATATCGGCAGGAACTCTGTCGCCGCCTTTGACTTCGACAATATCTCCGGCCACAACTTCTTCGGCGGGAAGGTTCATCTTATGGCCGTCCCTAATAACAACGGCATATTGCGGTACCATGTTTTTGAACGATTCCATAATCTTGGACGATCTAGCTTCCTGATAGTATGAGAAGCAACCGGTGACAATCACTACGACGGCGAGTACAATTCCAAGGTACAGGTTATCGTCGGGAGGCTCTTCGAATGTAGTCGCCTGGATCGAGTAGGCGATGAAGCACAGTACGGCACCTATCCACAGAAGAAGTGAAAATCCTCCGAAGAGATTCTTGCAAAATTTAACCCACTCAGGTGTTTTCTTCGGTGGAGTAAGTGCGTTTGGCCCATCCCTCTCTAGAACCTCGCGTGCCCGCTGGCTCGTCAACCCCGTGGTGGGATTCGTGCCCAGTCGGGCGTAGAGGTCTTCCAGCGCGATCTTGTGCTCGTCCATCTCGACTTCCTGCTTGAGAGCGTCCAGGTCCTTTTCGCCCTTCTTCTTGGCCACACGGGGCCGCCCGTCCGCTGTTCGACCATCGTCGGGCGCACCACCTTTATTCACCGCCGTTCTATAACTGTCACCGCGACCGTACTGAAATAAAAAGGTAAGGAATTTGACGTAAATATATAAAATATGAGCTACTACTGAATACACTTGAAAAAGTATATTCTATTGTTCCCTAATGCTAGTACCTAAATATTAAATATCAGTTTCCCTTCGTAAATTTAGTAAGAATTTTCAGTCCATATTAAATAAATCAGATCGAAAAAAAGTGCTTCTCTTTTCTAAAAGCGCTGGTACAGGTAAATTGTTGGCAAACTCTGGCCAAGGATAAGAAAACAAATTTACTTAGGCAATCCTGCCTCTGTATCACCGAATTAATGCAGTCATATTGCCGTTAGTTGCTTGCTAAATAGTGTCATTTTGTGAGTTAAAATGTGTGTAACTTTTTCGCTTGCAATTATTATTGGCAGGTTTGCTTTTCGATAGAATCATGGATCATTCACGCGGTACAAGCATGCTTACAAGGTTCTGCAATTATAGTCCTAGCTATAGCGGCCTTAGAGCCGGCAGCTTCAAGCGTTATATACATAGTCTTTAGTTTTTGGCTAGGGTGGGCGGCATAATTTAGCACAAATCAATCAATCGACCCGCCAACTCATACTTCGCCCCGTATATTTAATGTCCTGGATATTTCTGGGAATGACTGAAACCACTAGCAGAAAATCCAAAAATCTTAAAAGGCGTAGCAGCTTTGGATGATGAAAATATTGGAGAAAAACAAACATTTAAAACGGTTAAAGTTTCAAACCAGCAACGTAACCTTAGCTTCATTTCTAATTCAGTCCCTATTCAATACAGTACGTATCAGCGCACACTGAATTAGTGAACCAGGTTCCTGACCGAAAATGCATTTTCCCACGTCACCACAAGTCACGCTTTGACTCACTTCAGTTCCTGTTTGTGGTATCACGCGTCGTAACTGTCAATAAGGACAAATCTAATGCCGACAGTAGACCGTATCTAAACGATAAATTTATCCTTATTCGTAGTGAAAAATGTATTACTTTCACGCTTTAGTCATAATTGGCTTCTTTAAATAGAGTAAAGCACATGAATGTCGTTTCGCGCCCTATATGGTGCAGGTGGGGGCGGCATCGATAATGATTTATGCATTTTTCAGACGCGGCAACAAAATCAAGGCTAGAAGGTTATGAACACAAAAGACTTTTTTTTTACAGGCTTACATTGGGTTTAACTTTCGCATGATTTATTGATGGCTTGCTAGAGGGCGTCACGAGTAAACGCTCAAGAGCGTTTCAAGCAGTCCGGAAAAGCACTTTCCCATTCACTCTCTCTCTCTCTCTACACACGCATATTATACAATGAACAGTAACGCGACTCTTTTAAAAAACTAACATGTCAGGATGACCTTTGAACATGTAATTTCGAGCATTTTTCATTTCAGACCTAACATATGCGCCTATGTAATAGTGTGAATTACGTAGCTACATATTCACACGATGAAGCAGCCCGCAGTTACACAGAATAAACTGAATTATTATAGCTAAACGCCATGAGGTACAGGATCTGCAGAGCAGCGTAGTTTCTCAGACAGAAACAAAATGCTCATACGAAACTGTGGCGTGGTATCGTTCATTGACTAAAATTCGCAGTGAGCTATCCACATGGCATACGACATGAATATTGCTTTGGTCCGAATTATAAGGCGCTGGCAACACCGACTTCATCAAGGTTGTTTCACCGATCAATATTATTTCACCGATAGGTTGAATCCATTTTATTTAGCGAATAAACTTAATGTGGCCACATAATTTACAGGACTTGCTAGTCATTGGACACGATCTAACGAACTTGCTTGGGTCTCCTCAGGAATCTTCAATAATCAAATCTAAACAAACCCTACCTGCTCTTTTTTCAGGCCAACGGGCCCGCCGATTGATGCCAAAAATTCAAAAAAGGTTGAATAAACAAATTCAATAGCAACCCATTGCAAAACAATCACCCGAATATTGTTATCACACGCGTTTATTTCAACGAAGCCCTACCACTACAATTCATGCATCCTCGATTGGCTTAGTAGTCAACAAGTCAATTATAGCAATAGGGAATAGTAGAATAGAACCAGCAGTCGTTACGTTCGTGTCGTTAGTACCAACGAACATTAATATATCGGCACTCCGTTCAGTGATATCTTATCGTGAGTACATTTGCTAATGTTAAATATGCGGCGGTAATACGCAATCGGCAACTGGCGATCCGTCTCAAAGGTTTTGAGAATGAGGGGGAACGGCGAACAGATGAAATGTATGAAAGACGACATTAACACTCCACTGAAAATCTTATCTGACATGTTGTAGGTTTCCCGTACGCGTGCATCGAGAGGTCTGGTATTCCCTTTCCGATACCTTTTCTGTTTCAGCTTGTTCTTCCTTTGGTAGTGTCTTTCTTATCATAACAATCTGGAGCCGGTTCAAAAAACAATTAACCTATGAAAAAACAATACTTCTACTAATATAAATAGAACAAAGTCACTGTAAATCATACTATAATACTGCAGCCAATGGGTCTGCTGCACCCCTTTGCATATTGAGCCAGCCGCATAATGAGTCGTCTTGGCGTCGTCGTCGACTATTGCTGACGCGGATAATAACTAAGCAGGTACTCGAAAAAAAAATATAGCTGCTGTCAACCAGAAAATGTCGATTCTCCCTTAGTCGTGAGTGACGTGGTTGACACTGTACGCAAGACATTATGGCTAAGTGCAGTGGAAGGCTGATAGAAACGGACACAGAAATATGCAGTGGATTATCCAATAATAAAATATTGATTCTGCGTGATCGCACAGAGGGCAATGAGAGATTAAACAGTAAACGTAAAACATGTAAATATTGTTGATAAGGTAATTACTTTATCAGGGTTAAGTAAAAAGAGATCCAGCTGTAGCTAACATGTAAATCCTTTCCTTGACAGAATACAGGTCAGGATAATAACAATTTGCTACTTTCTTATGACACGGCACTACTATGTTCGTTGATTAGTAGGCACACATCAAGTTTTCATGTTGTTCTGCAATCATAGAAAAAAGTCCATGATCTATGATATCTATATCCGTCAGTGGATTAATAGACCCATACTGTTAGCGGAAATGTAGCCCAAGCCTAAATTGTTTCTCGTTGGATAAAAACCGTTTACCTCCGAAACGTTCATCGTTCGTCAGTCTCTGACGAGACATTTCATCCTTCTTCATTTCATCCTTCTGCATAGCAGACTGCCATGTTCAGAACCCTGCACTGACACACGGTTCTGTCTACGTACAAATACAGATACCCCTAAGACATACGAATCATTGTGAGTTAGCCTATCAATTGTGGTCCTGTCATTCGGGCTCAACCAAATGGGGCTTAATGACGCCAAGAGACGTTAATAGGCTGTAGGTAGGCATAGTCGTGCATTTTCTGTTTAAACATGACCTGACTAAGGCACATACAGGCAGTATATAACTACACTTTACTGGTAATTAAGGTACGAAACTACTACAAACCAGGAGCATACAGGCTCTTTCTATACGGGCAAATTTCCATCGTTTCGGTCGACAGCCGATGACTCTTTCGAGCGGCCTCAAGGACAGCATGTGTGATGATACTGCCGCCCTTCAGGATTGTTAAGGTCACGCGGAAGGGAACCACACAAGACTCACCTCATATCAGCTGGGGTAGGAAGCTGAACAGCCTTCAACTGCGGGCGAGGGGGAGGTTAAGCGAAGTTCCAGCGACGACGAGGATAGTGGCAAACAGGCATATAACGGTGACCTCTCACATAGTGTAAGCCCACCATCAAGAAGAATTAGAAGCCTATAGCGTAAAGCCTGGCGAAGTTCAGGCTTTGCCAGTACTATACCGAAACAGAACTGAGGGTCGTAAGCAGAAATTGTGGTGGTAGTTGTCGATTTCTCTTCGACTCTAAGCGGCTAAGTGGGCAAAAAGGGAAAGGGCAAATGGGACTGAGCCAAGCATACTTCCACCTCATATCCCGCGTACAACAAGTAGATGTCGAGAATTGTGTGTAGCTCGATGGCTTGTCTTTGTCTGGTGCATGAGCCGACTCCGTTCTGCTAAAAGTGGACGAAATAAACCAGCCCAACAGCTTTGGCACATGAATGGCAAGCCTAATTTCGCAATTTCGCCGTTTCCTAAAACAGCGTTATATAAATTTCAATCTTGAGCGGTCTAATCCCCAGTAAGGAGCAGCAAATCAGAAATCTAAAGCCTCTTTTGCATTGTTTTTTATTCATTTTTATTGTGATTTTCTCACTTCTGTGGTATAATTATTGTAGAATGTTTGAATGAGACCTTGAGCTGAGCACACGTTTCTCGAAGCCAAAAGCCTTACCACGGTCGATCTTACCTCCTGTAATGGCTATACGTCATCATAACAAATGCGAGTAAAATAGCGGCGGCCAAAAAACGTAATTTTGTTTATTATTTTAACATATATTAGCCCAGTAAGTACTAAGTGGCTTGTCAGATTTTTAATTCCTATAATTTTGCCATACGTATTTGCCACCACAGAGTAACAGGGAGAATAACAGCTTGTCACTTCTTTGTCTTCTAAGCAGACCTAAGTACTAATATTATAACACTCGACAAGCGACCGGCGCTACTTATCACTGTCAAGCTTAAGTTGACTAAGCCCAAGTGTACCAGCGTACGTCCGTCGCTGGTCTACTCTTGACCGCTCTAAAAATACGCGGTTACAATCTCATATTCGCTTGCTACTAAGCCAAGAAACACTCGATGGTAGAATGCACGGCTCACCAAAGGCCACAGGCTAGCGGCGTTGGCTGATCATTGAGGGCATCTCGCAAATCGCAATCAGTTGAAATGGGGATGACGTTCTTTGCCACCTCTAGGCTGTCGTCGTACACTACTCGAACGACCAGACGGAGCAGTCAACCGCAACCGGTCAGCCAAGAATAAAAACAGGTATAGGTAGTGTCTCGCTTTTCTGCATTTCTTGAGGGCAAACAAAATTAAAGGAGACGAAAGAGTACCAGATTGGCGACACGC